ACTTTAAGCTGAAAAGATATTATCCTCAGTATTAAGACAAGGAAAGTCACTATGCTCAAAGATGTTCTGGTTGTATTCGAAAGGGCACACAAAACTAGAGTTGAGTGCTGGTGATATCGCTTGATTGAGGTATAATTTTGAAACAGTCATCATGATGAAAGGTCCATATTATTTATCAAAAAAGAATGGAAATGTATAACACTGGATAATCAATGTATTATCTTAGACGTATAGCTGTACAGTTCTGGTAGAATCCTTATCAGTATTGGATGTAATATTGGAATTCTTGTTGAAATCTTTAACTCCATAGATTTTTTATGGTCCAAAGTTATGCGATACCATCATTTATCTTGTTATTAATACATTATTAATACATTATTAATATCAATGCTATATCAATACAAATTTATGAATATCAATGCTAAATTAATAATTCCACATTCTGTGTTACAATTATTAAGATTACTATGATTGACATGGACAATGAAAATGGAGAAACTCAATATTAAACATTTAATGGATCAGTGTAATTCATATGTATTTGTTTTTTTGTTCTTTAATGCCACACTCAGCAATATTCCAGCTATATGACAACAGTCTCTAAATAATCAAGTCTGGACCAGATAATCCAGTGATTGACATCATAAGAATCGATCCACGCCACTGGGACACGATGACATGCATCAACCAAGACAGGGAGCCTGACCACCCGATCCAGTTAATCGCCTCTTACGACAAGCATAGTCGCCTCTTACGGCAAGCATGGGTTGTTGAAGACCAATTTACCCCGGATCTTCACGGAGTAAGTTCACATTAAGCAATGAATTTATTAACTGCACATTCATACACATACTGTGTATCATTATGGTACAGAATAATTAATTTTATCATTCAATGGTATATATCAATATATTGTGATCTTCTTGAGTCAGTTAGTGAGCATCAACATTTCCAATCCATGAGAACCCCAGTCACAGGTATATTAAGTTGGTATTTATTGACATATTTCTTATTTTAAGAATGGTTCAAAACCTTCCAGTAGTCTGTATTACAATCATTGAACATATTGAACCATATCATTTTCTCTTCCATTGAGCCCTTACTGTAATGCTACAGCCTTATATGAAGCAAGTCTAGATTTTCTACAAGTTCACCAGGGCTCCTTTTCACATTAAATTTAGTTGCATATTTCTTTCAAAATTATATATTTCAGTGACTAACCCTTGTCAAGCTTTCCAGTGACACTACAGAACATGGGGCAGTGAACAATGTGTGAAGAGACACTATCAACACATCCAGGTATATATCATTCTAGAACAAACACCAGCGAGATGATGGTTTAAGAGGTCTACATAAAACACGCACCAGTGCATCATATTATTGAAAAACGTAACCCAATATTCGTCTACAAAAATGTTTTTTTGTCTAACCCTTACTTGTCCACATATCAATCTTTTGACCCACTCTAAGCCTTATTTACCATATTACATCCCTAATCCTTGTATTACTGTACCTCTGACAGTCATCCATGACATTTTACTAATTTTAGACTAGTTTATGAATCTATGTTTCAACTTTGATACATTTATGGGACCAGGTAGAAGAACAGAGCCCAGAGACTCTCTTCATACTGCAGTAATCTGGACTTGCCAAACAATGTAGATTTGCAAGGGCTGTATTGGACATATTTGTATCAGGGTCTGTATGACAGACTAGGGACCAGGGTGCAACCTGGTCTTGTCTGGTGTAACTAGCCTTCCATGTCAACATATGCACCTGGTCCAAGTTAATCAAGTTCCTCAAATCAGGCCTTGGGCCTACAAGTAAGCAGGTGCCAACTGATGTGAAGTATTCCTCTAACTGGGTAACCAGATCTAGGCATGGGGCACCGGGCTAGACTAACATCTAGTCTCTGAAATGAACACATCTTACATAAAAAAACAGTTGTTCAGTTATCTTAATAAAAATATAATAAAAAGGAGCCCAGTGACTCTCTTCACTGCAGTGATCTAGACTTGCCAAACATTATAGACTTGAATGGGCTGTATTTGATATATATTTGTATCAGGGTCTGTAAGACAGACTAGGCACCGGGCTGGTGGCTATCAATGGAGCTGCCAGTATCTATCATCGCTGACCACATTCTTTCACTGCTATGTTAACAAGTGTTCCTCACTATTCCAGCTGACAGAGCATCTCTCAGATCAGCTTGTACACCATTAATGTTTCAGTTTGAGATGGACACAAGCATACCTGCTTAGACAGTCAGTCAAATAGGAAGAAAATAAAAGAAGTTAAGGAACATCTGATTCTTTCAGTGAGTGAGTGAGTGAGTATGGTTTTACCCCGCTTTTAGCAATATTCCAGCAATATCACAGCGGGGGACACCAGAAATGGGCTTCACACATTGTACCCATGTCGGGAATCGAACCCGGGTCTTCGGCGTGACGAGCGAACGCTTTAACCACTAGGCTACCCGACCGCCCCTCTGATTCTTTCATGTTACTATTGTTAATCTGTCATGTTATAGATTAACAATAGTAATATGCACGAATCAGATGTTCCTTAACTTCTTTGGAGTAGTATACACTGGATTATCCAGACTTTAAATATGAGGGGGTCAGCAGTGCCTAGACTATTTCACAACAACATATTATATCTTTATAGTGCAGTTGGTGCAAAACACATTTGTGGCTACCAGCCCGAATTTGACTCTCGGCATTATTTTCAGTCTATTTTTGTGTTATTTTATGGACTAATTTCCCTGAGCATACTAGGACTAACAGAAGACTCAGGCTCCTGAACTAGTGACTGAAGTCGCAGACTGATAGTGTTTGAAAAGTAGGGGTAAGGTATTACATTCTCCCGAAATCTCAAAGTTCAGGGAAAGGGACCATTGACAATTTTCCTTAATTTTGACCATTGATATCTAATAAAGCAACCTTTAGGCAAAAATTGATGCATCTCATATTCAAGATAACAGACACAAAGCCTGAAATGATCGGTACATGTGATGGATGTATACCATATGGTGACACCAATCAGCAAAGGAATGGTGCTAGCTCACCAAAAACAATTATTATTAGCAAGTCTGAGGTTCAAACCCAGAACTCACAGCTCCTGCAAGAGATATAACTGTGCTCAGCACAAGTTGGCACATGAACCACTGGGCCACTTTTGAGTTATGAAATTAAGTAAAGAGTTTGGTTCCTTAGTCAGTAGTGAATGACTGACTCTTACCAACGGATGAGATAGTGAGCATGGTTTAATATATTTCAGTTATATCACAGCTTGTCGGCTTAATGTGTGGAGTGTGTGAGTGAGTGAGTGAGTATGGCTTTACGCCACTTTTAGCAATATTCCAGCAATAGGTTTCATTCCAGACGACACCCCTCCCACACCTCAACCAACTTTAGATGTTTAATAAGACATATGAGCCATCTTTCCAAATGTCAAATCTATGTTAATCTGCCTGACTTAGTGAGTGAGTGAGTGAGTTTTACGCTGCTTTTAGCAATATTCCAGCAATATCACAGCAGGGGACACCAGAAATGGGCTTCACACATTTTACCCATTCTGGGAATCGAACCCTGGTCTTCGGCGTGACGAGCAAACGCTTTAACCACTAGGCTACCCTACACCCCCCTGAATGACTTAGAGAATTATTAACACTAAGCATTTGTATCAGGTTCTTGTATTTTTCTTGTCATCATGTTGTTTTCTAAAGGGGGAAATTGTTAAAATAGCTCCTCTTGACATGCATATCACACTGTCTTACGTGATGTCAATGAAGTAGTGTCTCATACCTGATAAAGATATTGAACAACACACATTGTTGTTTCTTTCTAAACAGGTACCATATAAAGGGTAACATTTAGTTTGTTTGTTGTTTAACGCCGCAATATTCCAGCTATATGACAGTGGACTGCAAATAATCGAGTCTGGGCCAGACAATCCAGTGCTTGACATCATGAACATTGATCCACGTAATTTGGATAAGACGACACGTATCAACCAAGTCAGCGAGTCTGACCACCCGATCCCATTAGTCGCCTCTTGCGACTGCTTCGCCTTTTATGGCAAGTATGTAACGGGTAACAAAAATGATTGGGGACAATAAGGTATGTATGTTTGACCTATTTAAGTTGACAGCTTTTCTGCTTGATGTGATTGATCTCCTAAAATTAACTGGCAGACCAAAGATTAGATGTTCCACAGAAAGAATTAAACGTGCTATAATTCCAACTTTTACCAAAGCGAAGACACATTTGCATGCTGTTACTGAGCATGAACAAATTGTCACAAAAATGAGAAAAGAAAACATGGGAAATAAACATGAGTCACATTTGGAAATATTTATCAACAGAATGCCATATGTCTCCTAGTTTCAATTAATGCAGAATGTCCTACTGCGATGGCTTCAAAGACCATGTACACTGATGCATGATGAGTAATGCTTAGTGATCTACATGCTTTTCACATGTGTCATTTCTCGTAAATGCCAACACGTTATGCACACTCACCGATAAACCCAAACACTAACCCACACACTCAAAAACACCTTAAACCCCCAACACTGTTTATACTTGAAACACAAAGCACCTAAAAAATAATTATAGAAATCTATGCTCTACATATCAGCATAAATAGCGCAACTGAAACAGAAACGTTTCCATGGCAACAAACATGGTACCAGTTCAGGTTCTCTGAGACACATAATGATACAAAATATAACTAATCTTCAATCAGCCAGTGAGGGTCAAACAGAGCTGGATGTGTGCAAAGACCAACCTACAAGGGATGCAAGGGTGGGGTTGCTTCCCGTTTCCTTCTACACCCTCCAACTGCTGTCAATGACATTATCCTGCTATTAAATTCTGTAACCAGGCCACATTAACCTGCTTATCATTTTTTCTGAAAAACATGGAAATGGAGGAACCATCTCTAATGCATCTACCACGCCAACTAAAGCTCTCTAACTATATCTCACTCAAGCCAACCTTATCATTAGGCTCGTCAAACAAAGAATATTCTTCCAGATGTTTATCTGACGTCAGTTTGGGTATCAGATAGTTGTCCGCATATTTGATAACTGAAGCTGATTTCCTTCGACATTTCTCAATACCTCCAACCTGAACCCCAACATCACACATCTGTCGGCCGGGGTCACTGATTCTAGAGGACTTATCGTAATGTTTTCCATTTCTTGTCCGATCAAAATTTTTCCTGGCAATGAGTAAATCCTTCTCAATATTGAACCTATTATCCCTGGTACACAAATGAACAGCAGTTAGACGGATTTCTTCCTCGTCTGGGCCACAGTCTCCTTGAAACTGTCTCCTGTCCGTCTGTAATTCCTTGTAATCCATTTTGACCTCCCAGCTTTTTCTAATATCCTCTGGATGCACACAATTCACATAGTCATGCCCCTTTAAAAAGTGGGTCCTATCTATTCTGAATCCATCAAAGTTCTCCTTCTTTTTCTCGATCCGTGCATATTCCGGAGTACTGTTCTCAACAGCAGCAGTAGCGTTATTTTCGGCTGGGGGAGAGGTATCAGTCACGACATTATTAGGAGCAGTCCGAATCTTGTATTTCTCTAAATCCTCTTTAGGAAAAGTGTACAGAACTTTGGAATCATCGTCCGTGCGACCAGCTCGACAGTTGTTGACAATGTCTCGCACTTCCTGGACACACCTTGACACGATATTACCCATGACAAGGGCAAACCAGCAATAAATACACCTTGGACAGTACCAGACAGTCCTTCCCTATCATACCTACACAACAGCAGCAGAGCTTCTGAATCACACTCGCCTCTGCCTTGCAATGCATGCTCATATTTCCCCTACCCCGCTATAACGCTGCTGGGCAGAAATGGTACAAATCATCCAATTCGTCCCAATTCCTGAACCCAAACATCGAATCTTAACCATACTTTCCATTACTTTATCTCAAAGCTGTGACACAAGGTTCACGTCTGCTACCAGGTTCCAGAAGTGTTGGTGTTATAGTGAGGATGTAGTGTATACCTTCAAGGTTGACTTGTAAGAGCAGGAGAAGGATGGCATACAGATGGGAGGCACCTTTAGGACTCCATCCAGATGCTTGGCTCTTTTAAACAGCTATCAAATACATGCATATGTACATGCGGGACATAAAAAAATAATCAGTGAGTCTGAGAAAGGCGCCCAGACAGAGGAGTTGTTTACCCCATTCATCTGATGGCATCTTGATAATTTTCTTTTCCTTTTAAAAGGGACACTGATAAAATGGGGGCATTAATTGCTGCACAGCTTTCATATTACTCATCTGATATTCTGGTGTCATGTTCTGTCAGAAAGGAACTCCAATCATTGTTGATACAGGATATCTTCATTTCAGCCATTGCCTTGTGAACGAGACTTTTATGATTCTGCGTATCTATTTCTGTTACTGATACTTTTCCCTCATTAGAGTGAGTGAGTGATTTTTGTTTAATGCAACTTCAACAATTTTGCGGCTGCACCTCATTAGAAAAAATATTCTTATCTACTTTGGTTTTCTTAAAGTGTTGTAGTTCGTCATGAATTTAATTACATGTAAAAGCGGAAATCTTAGCTTCGCTGAGGTAGAACACCAAAAACAATTCTTTTTCAAGTGTATTTTATTTAATGGCAATCTTAAAGTGACACAGGTCTTTACTAGCACTTTGGTGAAACCCACTAGCACGGGTATGGTGCTGACACACCAAGGATCTGGGACATGACCCACTGATGAACAGAGCCTGGCATGGTCAACAGGCTCATAGCAGTGCCTTAGGCCACTGGGCCCCACATGTCCCTCAGATATGATTTGGTTGGTTTGTTGTTTAACGCCGCACTCAGCATTATTCCAGCTATATGACGGCGGTCTGTAAATAATCGGGTCTGGACCAGACAATCCAGTGATTAATATCATGAGCATCGATCCACGCAATTGGGATCGATGACATGCATTAACCAAGTCAGCGAGCCTGACCACCCAATCCCGTGAGTCGCCTTTGACGACAAGCATAGTCACCTTTTACGGCAAGCATGGGTTGCTGAAGACCTATTCTACCCCGTAATCTTCACGGGTCTCCCTCAGATATGAAATGCAGGACTACACTTATGGTTCAGTGACGACACGCTGTATGTCTCAATCTCCAACAGAAGACTGCGGGTTAGAACAGGTCTTCAGCAATCCATGGTTGCTGTCAAAGGTGACTATGCTTGTCGTAAGAGGTGACTAATGGGATTGGGTGGTTCTCTATTGCGTAGATCAATGCTCATGATGTCAAACATTGGATTGTCTGGTCCAGACTCGATTATTTACACTTGACACCATAGAGCTCCAGATAAGCAGCATAGATGCACAAAGGAGTGCAATAAATCACCATTACCCAATTAATTTTGAGTTCCTTGCTATCGTGAGTTCATGCAATATGTTACACACTTTAGGCAGCACACAAACAGAATCAAATTAGAGGTTACCTGAAACAGCATTAAAACAGAATTATTTTTTAAAAAGCCTACTTTTTTCTGAAAAGATATTCAATATACTGGACCCAAGGGAGTAAATTTATCTGAAATAACTGAAGAAAATTATGAATATCCAATGTGAATTATTTATTTGAGTAAACGATTAATGACTCAAAACATTATTTGGTGGTCTGAAAACTAATGAAAACTTCATGTTGGGTTCTGACATTGTCCATGACAAGCGCTAGGCTCCGTTTATCAGCAAGATCAAGGCAGTGTGTGCTCAGCATGATTAACGATAACTTTCTGCAGTACTTCAATATGCCTAACTACCCTGATCGACATCAACAATACTGCCACACTGATAAACTCACACATCTAACAACAAACCTGTGTCATTAACTCCATTAACTCTCCGCCGGAGATAACACAATTACACTTCTCTCATTTGGCATCTCACACTCCCTACATACTACATGATATAACGCCCCATGAAGACCCGGGATAAGGTCTTCAGCAATCCATGCCTTCCGTAAAAGGTGACTATGCTTGTCATAAGAGGCGACTAACAGGATTGGGTGGTCAGGCTCGCTGACTCAGTTGATGCAGGTCATCTTATCCCAATTGCGATGCTCATGCTTGGATTGTCTGGTCCAGACTCGATTATTTACAGTCCGCCGTCATATAGCTGGAATACTGCTGAGTGCAGCGTTAAACAACAAATAAACAAAAACATGATATAACATAGTGCCTTGATAATACTCTTATTGAACTCCCTATCGTTGACAGGCTTTGTTGACACTGACACTAAATCATACATTGAAGTACTTGTACAAAAACGCTTTTTAATGTTTGTTTATTTGATGTTTAACACTGCACACATCAATATTGCAGGAATATGATGGCTGTCAGTAAATAATCAAGTCTGAAACAGAAAATCCAGTGATTGACATCCTCTACACAACTGGGATAAGTTGACATGCATTAACCAAGTCAGTGAGCCTGACCACCCGATCCTGTTAGTCACCCCTTCAATATGACATTTAGAATAGGTTGCTGTCAGAAGACCAGTTCTAACCCAGATCTTCACGGGGTCCGCCTTTTAATACCAGAACATACCAACTCTTCTTTATTAACACACACCTCTCCATAAGCATGGATCATGAAACGAAAACAAGCTGATCATAAGTAACAGCTAGTGAAACCTACTCTATTCTATTCATATCTCACCCTGCTCCAAGGATAGAAGGAATGATAAGTCCATGATATATCTAGTAATTCTATCCTTATAACAGACTAGATAATTGGACACTCTAAGGATGCCAATCTTTTACAGCGACAACTTGCTGTTATTTTCCATATACTGTAACCTATGAATTATTCAAGATACGTATCCAACATGTTCCTTTTATATTGACCAATTACCAAGGTTTGCCCTGACACTGAAAACCTGCATATTTGACAGAGTCTAAGTTCAAGATACGCAGCATAATATCCATATTGCGTCAGTTGTGACGCAGATCATTCAGGATGTCAAAATCAATAATTTAATTGCACGATTCTGTCTGGATAATAAAATCGGTAACGGACATATCCCTTGACAACAAAACACGACCGATATCAGCTTTGTTTAATGCTGGAAAACTCAAACGTCATGGATTCCATTAACAACAACTCATACCTCAAAGTGCGAGACACTTATACGTTTGCAGGTCAACTGAATTTATCATTGACCATATTATGCTTTGTGGTTAAGAAATAACAGATAATTTAATGTGTACAGTCCTGAGTGTAGCAAGTCACATCTGAAGAGATGATATTACATCATGTTAACTAGCAGTTGCCCTCTTAGTTTGTATCAATCTACAATAAAACAAGGGCAAAAGTGAGCGTGGCTCACTAATAGCCCGACCCGCCTAGTGTGTCAGTAGGTTCAAATTAAATAATGGATAGGGTTAGGGTTTGAAAAATTCATTAAAAAAATGGAAAATTAATAAAAACTATTTTTTTCTTTTGACTGCATCCCTCCATATGACAGATTATATGTACTAAGTTTGAGATGAATCCACTGAATAGTTTAAGAGAAATCGCGCAGACAAAGTTTTCGGGCGGACGGAACCAATTTTTGTGAAAATGATCCTCAACAAAAGACCTATGACTCCCTATAGCACAGCTTGGGGGTCATAATGACCTCCACCCCCAAGTTTTGAGAGGCTTTGAGAGTTTTGCCATTAGTTTTCATCATAGTAAATCAGATGGCAATACTGTCCCTTCCTTGTTCAGAACACACACCGTCTACCTTAGAAATACATGCCTCCAGTTTTATAAGCAAGTCACATGTCTGGTCTGATGAGGTCACTTCCTGTTTAGAAGTACACCAACAGTTGATTCATGTCTCTCGTAAACATGACATGTGACATGGAACAAATTACTGGTGATGATAAAGTTACGTATAACTAAGATACTTAAAATTACTTATTGGAATATGCCATTGTCTATTCAACATTTGTAAAACCATAGTCCAATTTTATGATTTGACATATTGTCAGCTTGATCTTAGACAGAGAAAGCCAGAGTTTCTTTCGAACTGGAATCACTGCCCAAACTAACGTGTTAAGTTTCTTTAAATTTTATCATTAACTCTCATGTTTTGAGTAACTTCTGTTGAGGTTGATTGCATAATCTGTGACCCTGACCTTTAATTATATGTGAGGTGAAATCATCCAGGGGCTTAACGTCGCTTCCAAGATTATTGCATTTATATAGCGATGTGCGTGTGTGCGTGTGTGCGTGTGTGTGCGTGTGTGCTTGCTTGCACTACTCCAGCCTGATGCCAATTTATAGTTCTAGCCCACTGAGATACTATGCCGCAGTTTAACATGAATACCCCACTCAGACACAGAATACGGACTCCGAGCCGACCATTCCGCTTCCGCTCTCTACGCGGACACTCTACCACTAAACGGATGCGGTCCCTTTCAATCTTAGCCAATCAAATTTGGGGAAAGTTCCAACTTCAGACCCATGTGCAACAAACGTGATGTCCGCATACCAATAAATACTGAATCAAACTATTATTGCCATACAGTAGTAGGTGAATTTCCTTGACCTTTTCAAAAAGGAATGCTTAACGTGCTGCTTGAACACGATGAGAACCAGTTAGTGTGTCAAAAAGCTGCCAGCAGCATGCTACCAAATACCTGTATGACTAGTTCAGACCATATACAGCACTATAATTGTTTAAACATTTCACTTCCGACACATTTCACACCTGACACAGTACCTGCTTTGATCTCTCTCTCTCACTCTCACACTCAC